AGTGGTAATTTTGTAATTAAACACCCTTAGAGCATCATAAATGGGGGTTTTTAAGCCCGGTTCTTAAATATAAAATTATTAAAACACACATTCTCTCTTCTTTTTACTCAACTTTTTACTTTCTCTTTCATCCTTTTACTCAACTTTTATTAATTTTATATTTAAACACTCTCTCATCATTTTAAAAACACTCTCCAAAAGTTTATATTTATGCAACTCTCTCTTCCTTTTACTCAACTTTTATTAATTTTATATTTAAACACACCCCACTATCTTCTCTCTTTACTCAAATTTTATATTTCAATACACCCCACAAAAACACTCTCTTTCTTTCTTTTACTCAAATTTTAATAATTTTATATTTTAAAAACTCTTTAAGCACCCCCCATTGATGATGCTCTTAAGTGGCATTTTTGCAAATTTGCACACAAAAAGTGGCATTTTTATAATTGCTTAATATTAATATATGAAGAATGAGATAAAATTAGAATTCCATAAAATTATAAAGAACTTGATAGAAATTAACAACTCAAATAATGTACCAATAAAAGTAATTACAATAATATAATTTTGGATTGGAGAAATATGGATTTAGTTCTGAATAATTAGCTGAACAATGTTTTAATTTAAAAAAAAATTAATTTTTATAATATATAAAATACAAAAATATGATAAGTTTGATTGGTACCATAAAATAAACTTTTAAGATCCAACATAAAATATTATATTTAAAATTCACCATTTCAAAATTCAGAATGAATTTCCAATTTCCTGTGAGGTTCACAATATGTTACTTTCGATGAAAAAAAACTATTTTTAACAAGATGGTGTAAATGGTAACCGTTGAATTTCTGCTGAATTACTGTTGAGTTGCTGAATTTGCTGAATTTTTAGTTATTTCTTGCGGAATTTGCTGAATAATATCAAACTTAAATGGTAACTGCGGAATTTGTTGAATCAGTTGAATTTTTGAAAAAGTAATTAATTAAATAAAGATAAATTTTTTTAAAATGCCACATTTTTAAAATCTTTGTAAAAATGCTACTTTTTGAAAAAAAAATGTCATTATATCATTTATGTTTGGGTTAACTATGATGT